TTTCCGAGGCAGTATCACTACGGAAGTAGGATTGCCCAACCTTCCTTCCGAGGAGTGGCTGGTGGGTTTGAACCGCCTGCCTTCTGGTTAGCAGTCAAGTGCCTTAGCCACTATGCTACCAGAGCTCCCGAAGAGTAGAATAAGGAAGTATTAAGAATACCCAGGGCATGAAAGCCCTGAAAATGCTATAGATATGTAAAGTGTTTTTTTTTTTTTTTTGCTTGTTAGATTATATCTGACAGAAAAATTAAGTATTTGTTAAAGCACTTATAATTTTATAAAAGCACCACTGTTGAATAAATAGGTTTGTTTTGGAGGGAGGCATGAACATACTTATTCACTATGAATAAAACCAGTTGCTGTCAAGTCAGCTCGGACTCATAGTGACCCCGTGTGTGTCAGAGAAGAGCCATGTTTTATAGTATTCCCAATGGCTGATCTCCTGGAGGTGGATCTTCAGGCCCTTCCTCCCAAGTACACTTGGGTGAACTCTGACTGCCAGCATTTTAGTTAGCAGCCAAGTGTTTTAACCATTTACACCATCTAGGGTCTCCATTTATGGAATGAGTAAATCATTTGTTTGTTATGTTTTTAAAAAAGGAATTGCTGTAACGAAACGTTTAGTTTTCCCAGCTCAATTAAGAGTATATAACTTATTGGTTGGGAAACCAAGATTCTAGAACATCAAGTTCAGATTTTAGGGCTGTCGTAGATTGCAAAAAATGGTTCTACTCTGCATCGTTTGCTGTATCCACACATTATGCAGTATGGCTTTTCAGCTCCTCCCATGCAGAGGTGGAATCTGTTTCCCCACGCCATGGATCTGGGCTGGCCTATGCCTTGCATTAGCTAGTAGAATGCAGCAGAAGATACAGTATTTGGGTTCCCCTAGGCTCAGGACACCTTGGATGCTTTGGTCTCTCTCTTACTCCTCTGCCTTCACTGGTCTAGCCTGCTGGAGGATGAGAGACTATGGAACAGAGCTGAGTAATCTCAGCCGAGGACCTCCTAGACCAGCTAGCCTTTAGCTGATCCACCAACTGACTGTAGACACAAGAGTGAGCCCAGCCTAGATCACTCAGATCTGGCCCACGTAACCAGAGCTATCCAGCTGATTCATGGCCCAATGAGAAATAATAAATGACTGATCTCTGCCACCATGTTTTGAGCATGTTTGGTCTTTGTTCTTACTAAGATAACTTCTGATAAGATTTATATTGTACTGAATTACAGTCAGGGAGCTCTGGTAGGATAGTGCCTAAAGGCACTTGACTGCTAACCAGAAGGCTGGTGGTTCAAACCCACCAGCCACTCCTCGGAAGGAAGGCTGGGCAATCTACTTCCATAGTGATACTACCTCGGAAACCCAAGGAGGGGTCGCTGTGAGTTGGGTCTGACTCGACGGCACATGACAACAACAACGAAATACAGTCATGCACTCCATAACATCCATTTATGGAACATGTGACTGCATGTACATCTGTTGTTCCATAAAGTTATAATAGAATTCAGAAGTCTCAATTGGAAAACAGAACATAGTGAATGCAACAGCTTACTGCAAGCAACACATGTATCTTATGTCTCTTATATACAAAGCAATTGTGCTGCCATGCAAATAATTGTACAGTACATATATAACCTATAAAATATATACCTTGACAGTCATAATAAATGCCCATATTACTGGTTTGTGTATGTACTGTACTTTCTGTCTAAAAAGTTTACCATGTAACAGTGTACACTTTGACTTATAGGCAGCAGCATCCAATCTTCTATATTGTGGGTATCTTGAATGTTGTAGTACTATCTTTCTGATTAATTTTCTTTTGAAAATATTACTGCAAGGTACATCGTGGTTCCCAAACGCAGCAAAACCACTGCTAGTGATAGTAGCAGCAAGAGGCAGAGGAGAAGTATCAGGTTGAAAGTGAAACTACAGGTTATTTGTTAAGCAGCATAAAGGTGGAATCATTGAATGCTGTTGTTCGCAATTTAGGCATGTCACACTTGACAATCACAACAGTCCTCAAAAGCAAAGAAAAAATTCTCCAAGCTGTTAAAGGGTCAGCTCCAATGAAAGCTACTAAGCTAATGAAAATGTAACAGGAAACTATATCAAATATGGAGAAATTATTAACGATGTGGATTGAGGACCAAACACAAAAGCATATCCCTGTCAGCACTCTGACTGTCATGAAGGCACAAAGTTTGTTAAAGATGCTTAAAGAAAAAGCAGGACCAGACTATGATATGGTGTTCTCACACTGTTCAAATCACAAAAAGTCCTCTATTTCACAGAACGTATCATGGATAGTAAGTGACGCATGACTGTAGTTGTAAATGTTTTTCTAACAAGTTTGTTGAATAGCTCTGCCAAAGTAATACTGAAATTGCAGTGATGTCTGATGATAGAGAATATGTTCGTACTTCACATTTAATTTACTATATCCTAACGGCACATAACAACAACAACAATTTTAAGTAAAGAGTACATGTAATGAAGAACAACAATTTTGATAATATATCCTCCCTTTCTAGAGGCAAATGGAATCAAATTGGAACTTTGTAGAAGAACTGCTGAAAAAGTCCATCAGTGTTCAGGTATGCATTTTAATTAAGACTATATTGTGGTCTTTGCTGAGTTTTTATGTTACAGATTTTATTTACAAGAAGCAAGCAAGCTATTAAAATGATTTAAATAACAAACTTAGCTTAGTTTTAAAAAACTAGAGAGAGAAATAATTCTGTGTCAGTGAAGAGTCAGTGCACAATCATTCCTATTAATGACTATCCTTTAAAGATTTTTATTATTAACAGAAGTTCGCAGTTAAAGGACAAAGATCATTATCCTAGTTGGCAACTTTGAAAAAATATATTCAAAGTAAGTGGTAGATGCTTTGGAACTGTAAACCATACAGTGACTGGATGATAGGAAGTCTAGAAGACATGATAAGGGAGATAGTCGGTGGCATTGGAAATTCAGCTGTATCCTCATCACAGCAGGAAGGTGACTTGCCTTGCTGAACAATTTGTCTTACAGGCTTGAATTATACTCTAACTGATAAGGTCCTAGTTTCTGGGCACTCATTTCATACCTTATCATTTTTCTTTCTGCAGAGCTGTTAATGTAGTGCTTCATGGCCCAAAGGTCAGACTTGACTTCTTTTAAAACTTGTTTTAAATATGCTATTCATCACATCTTTAAACATGTTGTACTGTAGCTCTATAGATTTGGTCTTAAATATCCAAATACAAATTATCATTTATGTAAGAGTTTAAATAAAATTAAGTCAAAGGATGTGTTTTAATTTGGGAATTAAATTACTATTCTGTTGATAAAGTTTTTTTTTTTTTTTAAAAAAAAAAGGAAACTTGAAGAAAAATAAAGAAGAAATATGGTAATATAAAGTTGCTTTTTCATTACATAGATATGGTAGCCATATCTTTGAAAATTAGTTTTAATTTTCCTATTAAAAATTGAAGTTTTCTTTTTCCTGTTATCTGTATTAACTCTTAATTTCTTTAGGTGAAATATATAGATACATTTAATTATAATATGACTCTTCTAATTATGAGCTAAGAATTCTAGCTTAGATTGATATCCAGAGAACACTGTGTAGGTAAGTTTTATCAGAAACAGACCTGTTAGCCTTTTAGAATGCTTTCCCCTACCACTTTAAAAGTTCTTGTTTATTCCTTTCTCCCCACTTCCCCTTAATTCTCTTAATTGGCTTCCTTTTTTCTTCTCTGGAAACCTACTGATTTAGTAACTCAAAAAGTTCCTTACGTTTTTTTGTGATTGTAGGGAATCTAAAAAATGGTCATTATCATTTACGTCAGCTATTAATCCAATCTTTATGCTTTACCATAATTTAAAAGCCTCTTAGTTGAAATCAAGTGAAAAGAATTTTCCATTATTCCTATAGTGTTACGTTTTACAGTTACGGTGTCTGAGATAGTAATTGGGAGCTGCTTTAATTTCTACATTAAGTTGTAACTACTTCTGTCTTTTAAATTTCCTTCTTCTGGCTCAGCTAGTAACAAACAGTGTGTTCTTAGACAGTTCAGCATTCACCATATGTTTCTGTTATACTACTTTTTTTTTTTTTAATTGTGATTTGGTTGAAGGTTTACAGAGCAAATTCACTTTCCATACAGCAGTTCATGTATACTTTGTCTCATGACATTGACCA